CCCTTTCCTAAATATGTTATTCGCGGAGGAGTGATTGGCCGCTGCTGGCGTGGGCGGGTACATCCCGGACAGGGCACTGCCTTCCAAGCAGTTTCTTACAAAAGCTGGTGTCCCTTCCCCCACTCCCCCTGTTACCAAACGCTAGGAGGGGGTTGGGGGATAACTCGTTAAGAGTCATTTAAAGAAACGGAGCTAACACCTTAACCCCTTCCTCGCCCTCAGACAACCCATAACACACAGAATGAGGGAGGAGAGAACAAGAGGGAGGTTCGAGAGACGAGCAGAGACTGTCTGTAATTAGAGCAGGGAGGGCTCACACCAGAAGAACAGCTCTGTAACTTCCTCCAGCACCTAACTCAAGATGCCACGCCAAATAACTACAGAGAAACTACGTACATATATTATGAACACCAAACTATAAACAAAGATTATTAAAAGCAGAGGCAGCCCTTAAACACTCCTCTGTACTTAACAGAAATCCCTGATGCACAAGTGACTTCATAATAATGCCCTCTCAGTGGGATGTATTGCTTCTTATATAAGAAATGCGTATTGTAAGTAATCATGTCAGAACAGAAAATTAGAACATCACAACTCTGTAGGCTTACAAATAATAATTAATTATATGTAGTTACATGAAAGACCTTCAGGCAGACCTGTCTCAAAAAAAAAAGTGGTTTATGCCATGCACAGTCATGATGCCACTGAGCGACAGGAACGCTATATTACAATAGTTACACTATTAATATTACAAATCTACTTAGATCACTCCATGTCCCATACATCCATGTTGTACAAGATGTATATGTGTGTATATCTGCCCTCTGTACATATAGTCTCCAAAAACCGAAACTGACACAAACCAAACCATCCAAAACTAAGTTTCTTCTGTTTATTTGAGACTTTATTTCCTTCATTAGATCCAATTTGGGATGTTTTCCTCTCTTAGTAGTTAAGACACCAGGATACTTTCTTCAGCCATTCATGAGTTTTAAAGAAGCATAATTAGATTCAAGATTGTGCAATTAAAGCAGTGGTAAGTACAAAAACAGTAACTAGCAAACACAGGTCACACCCAGCTTGTATAAACTCTGGCTTATGTAGGGAAGTCAAGAGTCCTAAGTCTTTCATTACTCATGCTGGTCGAAGAGGATTCAGAATGTTCCTGCGCGCTTTTGCATCTTTAACCTGAACTACGTACAAGTGTGGAAAAGAAGAAAGAAACCTTATGGGGGGTAAGTTGAAAACAACCTGATTGCTCCAGACATCACTCTTCCAATACAGATGAGTGACATTTGCTGAGGAAATAGGATAAAATGCATTTAGTCGTTCTCTTTGCAATTTAGCCATATTTAGGTTACATGCATTTAGGGGTCATTTTCCTAGAACTGATTTTCTTTCTTCTTTTTTTTTCTTACATATCATGGGTCTTGAACATATTTATTTTTCCTGTAACACAGAGTAACAAAATATTTTTCTATCGTATCCATTAACTACTCTATACAGTGCTTTTGCAGCCATCTTAATCAACACTGTTGGCTAGTGACTCGGGCATCAAACTGCCACACAGAAGTCCCAGACTCTAATCAACTGATATCAAATTGATGTTTGGCCTGAGACAGGTCATTTGATGGCCTCTGTACATCCCTGTTCACCTCCCTAGAAAGTGGCTATGCTAGCCTGTGTCAAAGTGCAATCCCAGCATCTATGTACTTTGCACTCACTCTCACGTTGATTGGGAAGATCTCTAGTTGGAAGGCTGTGTCACACAGTACACTCACACTGAGCCTATCTACAATTTAACCTTGGGATTTTTTTTCTACTATAGCTTCAGCTTTCTGTCAGAGGCAACAAGAACCTTGTGTGCATAATGATCAGCATTTTCAGCAGCAATCACCAATTTTGCAGACTTTTGCTTATAAGCATGTTCCCAATGACTATCCATTAGAGGATAAACACTTACCCAAACAACTTTTTAGAAGTTTGTCCAACTGTACATTACCAGGATTATTTAAACTATGCTGAAGTACACATGGACAAAAGACTGGCATTAGGCTTTACTGTGTTCTTGCCCCATCTAGAAACTAATTTTTGCTGATCTCCTGCACCTATTCACTAGAAATGCTTGTGTAACTGTGGACTTTGCAAGGCAAATCAAACTATTAATGCAGTAGATTCTTAGAGTGAACCAACACTAGCCTCTGCCTCCTGTATCCTTCCTACTTCTCCGGGTATTCACTCCTTTGTACATCTTGTCTTTGCCTGTGACATTCCACTCAAAGTCTGAGCAGCACTGTTCAGGTCCTTAAACACCAGAGTCCCACTAGAATCCAACCCACGGCTCAGCTACTATTATATCCCATATGTACTACATTTTTATTTGCAGACATGTGAAATGCTCTTAGTCATCTGCATCACTGAACAACTCTTGATGCGCATGCTCCCCACCCTGAAGCACCTGGGCATTTAACTTGCACAGTTCAGGATATACCATGGTAGGACACGCATGGGTAAAGTGTTGCAAGGCTAACTTCTTTTCAGCCTCTGAGCCCAACTGCCTTTCAGAAGCACGTTCTAATTCACTCTTAAATTTGAGGACTTGATGTTAAGAATGCTGTTTTCTGTAGGTCCTCTTCACTTAAACATATTTAAGCCAGGAAAATAAAGTGATGATACAAGCAAGAAACTTTCTAGACATTTAACATCACATGACTTAAACATCACACTCCTATCAATGGATTTTCTTTTCCCCTCCAGGTGACATATCTGAAACAAGGTCCTTCACACAACTGAAAATACTCAAACATGTTTACGCACACAGACTACAGGAAAGCAACTTGCTCCAGGCCCTTACTGCAGCCTGAGAACTACACGCGCACACTCATGTTTCTTCCAAAAAGCTGAAAAATTAGTATAACGATGACCACATCAAGACTTCACAGAATATAATTCTGTGCTGCAAACACAGCAGAAAACTTAAATGCCACTCTCTCTATTTCTAAAGGATTCCCTCAGATAGGAATCTCATTCCAAGTGGTTCAAGGTGGTGCTAAAACCAAGTCCTGTGTCTCAGTTCAGAGAAATGATGGAAGTGTTGCTTACAGCACCATTAGTCTACAAAGGGTTAACATGCTTTAGTCATGGCAGGAAATTTTCTTCAAGTGAAATTCCTCTGCAACATCATACTGGGGAAAGGCACTTCTCAAACAGGTGTTCATAGAGGGATCTGTATTCTTCCTGCTTGGTTTCTGTTTGTTGGTTGGGGTTTTTAATAATTCATCAGGGAACAAGAAAGGTTGAAAACTTTTGCAATCTGTGCTTCAGCGTCCCATTTTAAACAGTGGGCAACCTATCATGATACAATAGAACAACTCATCACACTGCCTGAAGATATGCCACTCCTAATCCTACCATCTGTCCTCTGCTGGTTATCTTTTTCCAACAGAGCATCAAGCAACACCCAGCTTCAAGCAACAAGACTGTAAATTAACTGAGATACAAGATCTGCGACAAGGTAATATGGAAGTTTAACAGTGAAGATGCTAGCCTTCTATTCATCATCTGTCACACAGTGTTTCCAGAATCAAGCATGCACTTGCTCATGAGAGTTCTAATATTTTTTTCTTTATGTCTGTAAAGCATTCTGGGAACTAGAGATCTCCACAGAAAAAGAGCAGGAACATGGTAGAATAGAACAGTCTCTTCAAATTTTAACAAAACCCTATCTCATACAATAAGTTTTAGTTTTATTTTTTTTTACATCACAGATTAATTCTCTGAATGGGTGTTTTTCTGTCTTTGAAAGATGCCTGCAGAAAAGATATTTTAGTTGTTCCTTTAACTTGTTTATTTTGCAGTTTTTAATAATGACAATGGATTTTTATGTTTTTCTAGAGCATATAACTCCAACTATATAGAAATAGAATAAAATCACTACATTAGACAAGATAAAAAGACATACGAGTTTGAAGGAACAATGTTTTAATTAATTTGCCTTGCATCTTTCTAGCCCTGAAAATAGCAAATGTCAACTGGCAATCCAAACCAAATAAAGCTGCACACCACACCTCTGATTACAGCAGCGCAGAGATAATCTTGAGGAGAGGACAGGCCTTCAACATCACTCTGAACTTCCAAACAAGGGTGCAATCTAGGGACTACTTCACCTTTATTGCAAGCACAGGTAACTTCCCCGTGGCACTCAGGTCACTCCAGCTCCAAAACACAAGTGCCTTATAGCTCTGCATGGCCCATTCCCAAACCATTAAGCTTTGTCCCATATCATGCAGCATTCATTGTCCTTTCAGGCTTAGGAGCTCCTATTTTGAAGGTCAAGCTGTACCTTAAGGCAATAGACAGTTACGGTAATAATTAACAGAAGGTAGGGGCCATCCTCATTCTAAAAACAAGCCTACATCTCTGCTCCTAAAGACCTACCTGTAATACTGCCAAATTGTCTTCATTCTGTAGCCCCTGAACATTTAGCAACTCTACCTCTCCCCCTTATCTCCTCCCCTGGCTCTCTGCTTCACCTGTTTAAGCTCCCCTTGATTAACTCCATGTGTTCCCTGTTACAAGAACAGTCTACATGACCCCATTTGTAAAACTCCCATCTGTATCTTCCCAAAAGGCTTCTCCAAAAAACTCTCTAGGCAGCTGCTAGCTCTTAAAGAAATGTGATTTAAAACGTGTGGCTCATTCTGCCTACCTATTTTTGAACAGTCAGGTTTTCAGGACAACAGGCTTACCTCCTCGCTTGTCTAGAGTTATTACGGGCGTACTCACCTTTACTGGGTCGTGAACACAGCATACAGGGCTGCATATCCTATAGATTGCAGCACAGGTGGGTTACATTGAATAAGCATTTGATCTGATAACCCACAATCTTTCAATGTAGTCATTAAAAAAAATGCGGAATTGAGAACATCACTGTCCCCAAGCTTGTCACCCACAGCTGTCAATCAGAATTGCTGTCCCTGTTCCCTCTGGCAGGACCATGTCCAGCAGAATCACAGCAGACCAAGGCCATATTTGACCTTTTGGAGGAGGGTGCCAGCAGCTGGAGTGCAACCCAAGAGCCCAGTGAGCCCAGCTGCATGAACTTCACAATATTCAGCCCAGCCAATGCTGTAATTGGACGATACAAACTCAAACTCCAGATTGTTTCTGGGAACAAGGTCTCCTCAACACTCCTGGGACAGTTTGTGCTACTCTTCAATCCCTGGTGTCCAAGTATGTTTTGACGTATCATGTCCTTCATGTAACTCATTGTCTGGGTCAGAAAATCTGAGTGTCACAGTAAAGCATGTACCTGACAGTCACAGCTACAGAAAGATTTTCTCTTGCTCAACAGCAAGGATCAAGTTTTTGCCCCTTCTTTACTACTGCAATGCATCAAAGACTCAGCCTCTTGCTTGCAGAATAAGAAATCAGAGGCAGAAAATATTCCGAATATTTATTCTAGAATTTATTTCCTCTGATACTTGTGTTCACTTGTAAACCAAGCAATATCTACTAGTAAGACACATACTGAAATTAGTGAAGGGACAGGAGTATAGTCAGTTCCCCTCAAAGGAACTTCATGCTTATTTTATTCCCACTCTAAATGGTTACAGAGGCACAGCAGGGAGTCCTAAGGCTGAATGCACAGGCATCCTGACCTGCTCCCCAGAACTCCCCTTGAAGTGAGATTTTCACTTGCAGCAAAACAACTTTCCTTTCAGCCAGCATGTCTTTTTCTGCTTCTAGATGATGATGTCTATATGGCTAACGAAAAGGAGCGATGGGACTATGTCCTGAATGACAGCGGAATCATATTTCAGGGACTGGAAAAACATATCCAACAAGAAGCTTGGAACTATGGACAGGTAAACAGCATCACCTATTCCAGAACTTTGAAAATAAGAACAGTGGGTAAATAGGCTCTTGAGGAGAGACAATCATTATCTCATAGTATAAGATTTCGGTATTCCTCTCGAACTTAGGACTTTATTGCAGACATATGTCTCACTTGTCAGGACATTACAGCAGCATCAGGATCATCTCCCCTGTCCAGCTTGTGCCAATACAGAAACAGAAGAAGCAAAGCACAGTTTTAGTTTTCTTTTGCCTGTTACACAAACCAGCTAAACTGTACTTGTTTCTTGACCCTTGTAAAGGGCAAAGGAAGCCATTCCACTGCTACCCTCTCAGTACTGCGAGGCTGCTGCATCGAAGTATTTACACAGCCAGTTCGGTAATGGGGCAGAGGACACCAAAAGGGTATCCCAAATCTACTCAACAAAAACAACTCGAGTGGGAATTCTTGAAAATCAGTTTGGCCTCTAAGCACAACTGCTACAAACAGTCGTCACTCCAGCCCATCTGCAGCCGCAGAGCTGCCCTGCAACCAGCTGGGCCAGCCACCCACCACCACTCCTGACCGCTCCACGCCTCACAGCTGCACAGACAGCATTTCTGTTAGCCCTCCTGGTCCCTGTGGCTACTTCACGCTCATAAATGGAAGAGGGCCAGATCGGCTTTCTGTCTTGGAGGCCCAGGGACATCCTTGCCTGACCACATCCACACAGCACAGCACTTTACTCAGCATTCTCTGGGCCCAACACAGCATCTCTGTGACCCTAATCCACAATAATCACCTTTGTGGGTTCCTTTCAGTTCAGATCATCTGAATTAAGGTGAAGGCAGCCCACCAGAGTGAAGCTTTCACAACAGAAGGGTTCCTGTTAGGGCACGATAGGATGTGGGAGGCTGCAAAGCTGCAGAGCCAGACCTGGCGTCGTCTCGTCCGTTCCACCAGGCCACGTCACGTCTCCACGAATGCTAGCAGCTGCATATAGTAGTTATATATATATGAGCATGGCCCCAAAACATGCTTGTAAACATGCTGTCTTTAATGTACTATGCACAGCCAGCAGCCTAGTACTTCTGCTTTCTTCTTGGCCCTACTAACAGTACAGAAAATGCCTTTATTAACAACAGCATCCTATTGTGCTAGGAGAAGAAAAATAGGTGGGGAGTTTATCCTTGGGTTTATGTATGAAATTAGCCTTTAATATATTGCTTGCTTTGATTTCAGTTTGAAGAGGATATCCTTGATATCTCTCTGGCTATATTGGATCGAAGCCTGAACCTCTGCCAAGGTCCAGCTGTTGATCTATCCAACCAAAACAATCCAATCTACGTGAGCAGGGTCATCAGCGCTATGGTAAACCGATCAATTAGTTACAGCTGCGCAATGCACCTACGAACAAAAACCCCAATACTTCATTGGGAATGCCTCAATATTTTACAGGAGCAGCTAACTTTTCTGCAAAAAAATAGCTACAGAAGAGGTAAAATGGAGATTTATTCTCGAGAAAAAAATATCCCAAAAGTTTAATTTACCATCTTCCCAAAAGGTTGCTCATAAATTGAAGGAATGTTTTCAAGATCTTTTGGGGAACACTGAATCTCAGATGTATTTTCGTAATAGATTTTTCAGTCCCTTAGATCTTTTCACTAATTTGGAAAGCCTCTGTCCATTCTGAAATAATTTGCTAAGTTTTTCAAACACCAAGAGAAGCATGAAATGTTTTGGAAAACCAGTGTTGGTATGGCTGCATTTTAAGGTGTGTATTTGGTGTTCTTTACTGAAGGGGAATAACACATGCCTCACCACATTCCTTATCTGAGATTCCTCCTTTAGAGCTGTGATCCTTTTCAATCCTTTAGACAGCACTCCCTTCAGGCAATTTCAACTTCAATGTGAAGTAAATAACTCCACCTAGATGTACAAAATTACTAAAAGTACAAATACTTAAGAAAAAAATCATTAAAAAAGAACTGTTTTCTGTACAACCATACGTGACACTTAAACAGGCCTCTGCAGTGGATGTGCACAAATACGTGCAAGCACGTCTAACAATTCTGAGCAAGCTACATGTACTATATGCACATTTGCAACAAACGTACATTCAGAGAAAATATGTACTTCTTGTAGCCTCCATATAAATAACTTGAGAATGTGAACCAAGACTGAATACAGAGTGTAGCAGTACAATGACATAAAAAGAGATTAAATCAACTAATGAAACAAAGAAAAATTAAATAGGCTGGCAGTCACTACATTAGGGGACACTTGTACTAACAATCATGGCAGTTTTAAGTCATCAGACTCTACAATCTGATCTGGGTTTGACCCAACTGTTCCACTTGAGCAGACAAAATTCTGTCTAAGATTCAAATACTGTGTCCCAGCACTCAGCCAGTGAGAACAGTGGTACAAACAGGGTCATGTCTGCCTATCGCCCCCTCTCCATTTTTCTGTAAATAATTTAATTCTCTCATGAGAAAGACTCTTTCAGGTTAACGGCAGTGATGAAAAAGGAGTAGTGGAAGGGAAGTGGAATGGAAAGTACTGCACAGGAACCAAACCCTTGCAGTGGAGTGGAAGTGTGACCATCCTTCGGAAGTGGTACAGTGGGAGATACAAACCTGTCCGTTACGGCCAGTGCTGGGTCTTTGCAGGAGTCATGTGCACAGGTACACATGAAGGGGAGAAGAATGCTGTCAGAAAGGAAGCTTACTAGAATTTCTGTAGTTTTAATTTTGTGACGTTATTGTTGAAGCTGTTTCAGCTTTGACAGAGAGAGGAAAAAGAACCTTTGCTCTCCATGCATGAAGGGTTATTTTCTTCTGTTTTAAACAGCCATCGGTTGTAATACTGCTCCCCAGTTTTATGAGTCATCAAACAAAATGCAAAGTGGTTTGCCAGGCTGGGCTGGTGAAAAGAGCAAGGTTTCCTGTTCCAAAGCTAGGATTCAAAGAAAACCAGTCCTCTTTTAAAGTCCTCACAATGCCAATTTTCTACTGTTGTGTCTTACCTACTGGTGACAGAAAACCAAATCACGATTCTGAGGACCTGTAAAGGGAGCTGCGAGCTGGGGAAAGCATTTCATCCTAGCAGTTTCCATTCAGAGCTGCTCTGAGAGACAAGAGTCACTTTGGGGAAAATACAAAAGAAAAATAATGCAATCGAGAGGTGTGTCTCAGAGAGGAAGAGAAAAAAGTAGCAGGTAGCAGAGAAACAACCACAGGGAGAAAATGGGAGAGAAAACAGGATGAAGAATGAAAGATTAAAATAAATGGGTGAACCTAACTTCTTAAAAAGAACATGGCAGCAAAGAATGTCATGTGAGTGGAACTGTTCTAAGCAATCATGCACAATGACTGTGACTTGCATCATCTCTGAGAGGGAAGTTTCTGAGGGTTTGTTCCCCCACTGAAAACATATACACTAGACTGCCACAAAAAACAGAAAAATACTTTCTAAATGTCTGTAAAATAGGTTTACAGCACATTTATGGTATTCTACATTGCAGTTCTGAGATCCTTGGGAATACCTACTCGTGTTATTACAAACTTCAACTCTGCCCATGACAGGAATATAAATCTGAGTATTGATAAGTACATCGACATTTCTGGAAAGACCCTGCACTTGACTGAAGACAGTGTGTGGTAAATATATTTTTTTCTTAATATTTCTTCCATTATATTCTCCTCTAATTAGAACATCAAGAATCATGGTCCTGAAAAACCACCCCAACCTCGTGCTCCCAGTGATATAAAACCCCATATCAAAGAGTCAACAGAGCAGAGTGTTCAGAAATGCAATATGTAGTCAGTTTTATCATTCTGAAGAATTAACAGAGGAGATACTTTGTACCATTCCTATTCAACATATAATTTGAAAATGTAACTGCTAATTTTGTCTCTACTGTACAAAAGTTTAATTTTTTTTCCAAAAATGTTGAAGAGTGATTAACCTTTTCCCCAAGGATTATATCAGCTTGTCCCTCGATTCCTAGAGCAGAGCCCTCTCAGAAGCCCGTAAGTTTTAGACCCAGCTCCTTTGCTACACACTGTTGATTGTCTCAGTCTTTCATGATTGCCATTATACATCCCTTGCACAATACTAGGAAGTTAACTAAAGTACAGGTAATAAGTTTAATGCAACTGAGAAAAATTCCATCCCATCCCTTAAGAAGAACATGCTGTTTCTTTTACCTCAGAGAAGCTGTTAAAAATGATGCTTTTGACAAAGAAATGCACAGAAACTATCACACTGCACATGTGTGTTGTACTGCATGCATCAGTGTTTCAGTCACCAAGCACCCTACACCGTGTGGACTGAATGGGACAAGGGTGACACGAAGTAGAAAGCAACTGTGAATTAAATACCAACAGACAGCAATGTGCACAGGAGACCTTTGGCTGTACAGCGTGTTGTTCTGGAACGTCCAGAATTGAATACTTGAGTCTGCAACAAATTATTTTCCTTCTAACATTATTTTTTTCAAAACATCCCAACATTTCTCAGAGATCTGAACACAAAAACCTGGCAAAGAATGGGAAAGAGATACTCAAGAAAGGAGACAGCAGCTCATCTCTCCACAGAGTTTTCATTCACTTGACTAGGGTTATTTATTGCATTGCACCAGAAATGTATCCAATCTTTCAATATAAAATTAATTATATGAATCAGGGACTCCTTATTCTACCTCCCTTACAGGAATTTCCATGTATGGAATGAAAGCTGGTTCATTAGAAGAGATCTTGGCTCTTTTTATGATGGATGGCAGGTTCTGGATGCAACACCCCAAGAAAGAAGCAAAGGTAACACTGTTGTAAATACAAATACATATTGTTAGTCCTAAAGATTGCTACTGAAATTTCAGGACAACTCTCTTCTGTCTACTCCCTGCAGACATAGCATTAATTCAGGTGCAAAAGAAAAAGCAATACCCACATCAGTCTCCGGTTGCTTTTCTGTCAGCCTCTGGATTGCCTACCAGCATGCAAATTCTTACATTTTTTGATGCTCTGCCTCCACAAAAGCCAGCACATCTTAAATTCACTTCTCTCACCCATGTTTGTCTGAGCACCTAACTAGGGGGGACGGTGAGCGAGCGGCTGTGTTGTGTTTGCTGCTAGCCCACTGAGAAGCCACAACAGCCTGCTAGCAAGTAAACACCATAGATAACCAATGGCCAGCACTTGGGTTCACATGTTGGCTCTGGTTTTATTTACTAATACAGACACAACTTCAGTGATCTAGTTTTATTACCTCCATCAAAAGATTCATTTATTTGGCCACTCTAAACCCATCAAACTCCAGATAAATTGCTTCTCATTCCCCACTACTAAGTTCACCAAATTTAGCTTCTTGGTTCTTCTCAATGCCCATAGAGCATTGATGACTCAGATCTCATAAGTCTGACTGTACTTCTGACTCAGCTCCCATCCTCTCCTATCCTGTCACTAGACAGCTTAGTATACAGCCCTGCAAGCTTTTGAGGGTTAGAACACCTCACATAGCACACATCATAAGAAGTGTTAG